GAATCAGCAGCCTAATCCAGACTTCGCGTTGCTGCATGTGGTATCCGAATGCACTGCACAAAGTTGGCCTAAACGCTTCCGTGAGGGAGACCCCAAGCTTGAAGGTTCTGTCTGATCGGAACGTGGATTTGAAGTAGACAATGATCGTTTGCGCAAGCTGCTGCGGGCAGACTCATGGCAAACTGTGCGTAAAATCGCACGAGTCTCAGATGTTCCCTTTGGGATCATCGCCGATCACCTAACTCTGTTGGGGAATGTGGACAACCTGCACAGTGCTCACCCGCGACTTGACCGAACCCGATCGTCTTCACGTGCCGAGGTGGCTAATGAATGGCTCTCGTACAGGCGCACGGATGGTTGGCTGAAGTCCGTCGTCACACAGGATGAGAAGTGCTGTCTGTAGGTCAACATCAAGGCCCGCCGACGCTGGGTTGACAAGGGTGACCAGCTGAGCCGCAACAGAAGGCAGGTGTTCACCCTCTGAAGGTTATGATCTGTTTTTGGTGAGACTGCTAAGGCATTATCCATTACGAGCTACTGCCGCGCTGCGCTACTCTCGCGGTGGACTTGTGCTATTAGGAGCTGGATAGAATGGTCAACGAGATCGCAGGGAAGCATGGAAATTGCGGCATGATCTGATTCCTGCACGACAACGTTCGTCCACGCACTACAACAGTGACCCGACAGAAGCAACTCGACTTTGGATGGGAAGTGGAAGCCACTCACCGCACAGCCAGGATACTGGTCCAACAGACTACCACCTACCCTTTCGCTATCGAATGCTTTACAATAGAAAACGTTGGAAGATGAAGATGACTTTGATCGCTGGTTAAGTCGACAATGTTAATACCAACAAAATAATGCAACAGAAACAGTAAACTTTTCTCGTTCAACTGATCATACAGTAATCTTCAACTAGATAGTTCCAGTTACACGAAAGCACGGAAAATGGGGCACTACGGACCTAAACGCACGACAAATCGTAGTTTTTCAAAAGTAAATGCGCAGACTATGTAAAAATTCGTAATGCAATACTGTCAATTGAAAATGATGATGTGGGGTATTGCACCTGCTCAATAGCTCAAATACCGGATCGTACACAATTAGCGCATCTTCATTCCACCTTCTCTTTCGACTGCTCCATAGCTTGTTGACGAACTCAATAGCCTTTTGGTGAACGATAAACGGCGCCAGATACCACACCTAAAATTTAAAAATTTCCTGATTATTGCGCATATGAAATTGGCCAATGGAGGCAAGCACTAATACATATAGGGGCCAAAAGAAAGGAGTCACTATCCCCCACATTTAAGAAGATTTACAATTGCTTGTTTGAAACCTGGATACAACTAACTGTATGTTCAAGAGCACAATTCAATCTATCAGAAAAATCAGAATATATCAGAATCAGAAAAATTCATCGCCTTCTAGATCGACGGTATCAGAAAAATTCTCCCATGGAAACAAGATGCACGGCACTTGCTCGAAGAGGCCGGCGAGGGACCGTGGTTCATTACGACGTCAACCGAACGCCGGTTAAAAGACAGAAGCGATTTTTCAGTATGGTTTTCAAGGTTCCACCGTAACCACGTTTGCGATAGCACGCAGTGGCCTGTCGCTTTTTCTGTGCACTCCACGACGAGAGCCACGACGAGAAGGTCAAGTGTACGGAGCACCATCGACGTAGAAGGTGGGGTATGGCAAAGGTCGCTAGGAAGCGTGGTCAGGGGCGCGGGGTGTGCAGTGTGGGTCATGTTGCGCAAGCGACGGAGCCGCGAGGTGATCTTAGAGCTACGTGCTGATCTGAACATTCTTGATTTTCACGCACGTCAAGTGCCTGCCCTCACCTCCCACCCCCTAGACTGCCAACACTTTCCCTCGCTCACTAAGTACCCAACGAGCTGTGCTCCTCAATGTCGACAGCGTGCAACGTGATTACGGTGGAACCCAGGAAATCATACTGAGAAATCGTCAGTGTGTGTAAAAGCAGAGCAAAATCTTGGGATAAGTGACCTTTTTAAGGCGCTGCCTGTATAATGACAAAGATAAAATACAAATATATATGCTATCGTGTATATACTATTTTCAAGCAAATTACCGCTTACTCCCAATTTGTTTGAAATTATGCCCGACACAGACGACAGTGTAGAAGCGGTTGCGCGAAACTAATAAAGAAAAAACGTTCACCTGCCTATAATTCTAAACCTTTCACATGACCAGAAATTTAACTCTTCGTGCATGGGCAGTGAATCCAAAAATAGTCGCAAAAAAGGAATACGAATTGACTCCACCCGCGTTGTTCCATGACGATCTTAACGACCAAAAAAGCAGAGCGAAATCTTGGGATAAAATCGCCTAAAATTGTTTCCTGAGATATAGTACTCGTTTGCGCAATGCTCTTTGTACCTGACAGTTGACGGGCAATACAGTCCCAAGAACAGGGAGATGTAGACAGGTATGTAAAATCAATTGCCCGCGTGCGAGAGCGAGATCTGCTGAATTTAACTAAAACAACGGAAACAATATAAAATAATCATCATTCCGTAGGAGCACGGAAAAAGGACTACTTGACGAAATAACAAAAAGAAAATAAACAATTAAGAAACCTTCAGCGGCAATCTGCCTGGAGTCTTTAGAAACTTGAGAAATAGATTGATAGAGTGAAATATTAAAGCTTTCTGGATACCACTGTAATCGTGCACAGATGTTCAGCTACTCCCGAAATTCAAAAACATAGCAACAGCTCGAAAGCTGTCTAAAGGATAAAAGGATAAAGCATTTGCCGTTGATCAATCCCTTTTTGGGATGCGGCACGCATTCTACTTCCATTTGTACATTCGTAGTGGCGTTTGAATGCGATGTGGCCTATACAATGACTTGCGGGGGCCAGCCGATGTACAAGTCAGTGTTTTTATCCTCCCAGACAAGTCTGGTACCAATTAACCGACCCCGGAGGGATGGAAGGCTTGGTTGGCCCGGGCGACTCACGACCCAGGATTTGATCCCCGGACCGCTCGCGTGCGTGCCACTTGCCACTACACCACTTCCGCCCTGTCTCCAGGATATCGAAAGAAATTGCGACAAGAGTGTGGCCAAGAGTGAAGTAAGGCATCACTACGAGCAAGCCGTTCTTCGTCCGAGTAAATACAACTCTTAAAAATGTACGATTATAAGTCACTTCAAACGAACATTCGAGCATTAACAAAAAAACGGTGAGCCAAAGCCACGCGATTAGTAATCAAGAAATGAACGAAGGACACAACCCTTCAGGATCAAGTGCCCCTCTGCCAATCCTTCGTGAACCAGTTGAGCTATGTTCGAAAAAATGAACCCGTTCCACAAAACAACGAACACGCGTAAGAGCTGCAGCGACTCCCACTCAATCGCCCTCTGACATCTTTGCATTTCAACAACGAATTGATTGATTTTCCATGTGTTCTTGCTACTGAAATGAGGAAAAGCTTTCAAATTACTGCACTAGAACCAGTGCAAAAACGCGTAACAAACATATTCGGAAGCTTTTTACGACTTCTTCTCTCGTCAATGTTTCTTCCCTTCTGCCGTTCCATCTTTGACGGCAACCCACGAATGAAGTTCGCGCAGACATCGGGGGTGAGACTTCTTCAGTAGGAAAGTATTGACACTTTCAAATCATCTATAGTCCGCAGTCGTTGTTTCCTGCACCGAGAAGAGAAGATACATATGCTCGCAACCACTTCTGCACCAAACTACCGCAGACATTACCTTACAAAATTTTTCATTGTTCCCCACACAATTTCGATCGGATTGAGATCGGGAGACTCTGGAGGCCAACTAACGGTCTCGACATTCCATTCTTTCAATTTGGAAGCTGTATATCGGCTCGTATGAGGTGGGGCGTTGTCTCGGACCAACTCGCAGAATCCTGAGCTTCCTGATCAGTAATACGGATTACAGCGGGGGGAGTGAGAGGTACCTTACCATTGTAAGTTTCCTGCTTGAATGGCAGATAGCATCTTCTAATTATTTCGCAGTACACTTTGCTGTCAATTCTGCTGTCTCCAGATAAAATAGCTAGCGGCGTCGTTCCTCGGAACGATATTCCGCCCCATACGTGGACTTTAGCCGGGTGCTTAGCCCGCTTTAGCAGAATCTCGTCGAACAGTCAACTGAAATTACAAGGAGGTCAAGTGCACTTCTCATCCGATGATGAAGGGGAAAATAGGATTTGATGACTCCCTACTTTGCACAGTGCATTCATCGGTGAACACGTAATTGGAGAAAGTAGCACCCTTCTTAATCATTTCCCTGCAGAAGTCCAACCGAATAGCTTCGTTCTGATCCCTGATGGCATGACAATACTTCGTCGTGGTTCTTTTGAGACCAAGCTGGTTTCGAAGATTTCTGATGTGCATAACACTAAGTGATATCCCACGTGTTCTGAGACGTTTCAAGATGTCAAACGCGGTGGATGAATTACTATTTTTGTAACACTATTGGATCTCCTTGACTATTTCATCGTAATGCTCTGAAATGATATAATTGAGATCTGGATGGATGACATTGAACGAACCCACGAAGAGAACGACGTGTGACAGTTGCCGATGAGGGAAGGTTGCTCTCAAATTTTCTGATAAATCTAAAAAGCGTTGTATATTTTACAGACGAGTCAATCTATAATAAGTTAACATTACTCAACGATACACCACAGAACTTTGAAAATATCAACACTTAACTTCTGGATTTCTCTTGCTATGGCGCGAATAGACTTGCCCTGCTCTCTCAGGTCAACAATGGTGCCTAGATGGCTGTAAATCTTCTAGCTCATCTAAAATCTTTCGATTCCAACGGAATACCACCGAAACACCGCAACGTACTATCCAAGAGGGCCGACAAACCGCGTCAAGCTGCCACAACACCACATCAACAACATTTGATTGATGTATCTCCGGACTTCAATTGAATAAGATTTCGGCACACCATTCCGATTCTTTATTTTGTATGCCTTCAGTCAAGTAAGTCATAAGCACCAAAACAATCGTCTTCGCGGTGGGAAGTCTGCTGCGTACCATGTCCTGCATCTCTTGTCGCCTTTCTACGACGTCTCGCTTTGCTATTTGAGGGCTTGTTTAACCTTCTTCGGCTTGAAGTGGCTCCGGCACAGTATAGTATTTGAAAGGGCACCGAAAAATGGATCATAGCTTTCGTAAAATTCCTTACTGAGGGATTATACCTGCTGTATGAAAAGTATTCGATCGTTAGATCTTACGCGATGATCCACTGGCAATTCCAAATTCCATGGTGGTCAATCTCTGAAACGCTAAACCTTCCAGGGCGATCTTGCGAAGGCATTAATGCATGCTGTCCTTTCTCATTCGTCGTCCACACTCAGGCTACTGGCTTTGCGCTGCAACGTCAGTTGTAGTCAATGAATTGATGGAGAAGTCTCATTATCCGAAGTAGACGGAATAGTACCAGCCTTGTTTTACGAAACTTTAATATTAATCGCTTTACGTCTCAGCATTCCTTGCCTCTGTTGCGTTTCAGTAGTTCTTTGATCATTTGCTCAATTCTGTCCTCCCTTTGCGTTACTGACATTACCATTGATGACCTTAATTTTCTTTTGATGGAATTTACGGCAGCGATTATTTGGATAATGTATTGTAAGAACGTACATACATATGCACTACATTTTCCTTCAAAGACGATATAGATTCCGCAATTTTAATCAACCTCGTCATCGACTCCCTTTCCCATCCTGGTCTTTGTTCAGAGTCATCTTGGCGAGAACTGGCAGCGGAGACATTGAAAGATGACATTTCGAAAAGATTCTCTTGCAACTCCCCTTCCACAGTAACCAGTGGAGCCTTTATCTCACACAGTTCCTTATGCCCTGTGTACAATACCTAAACAACGGTTTATGGTACTGTCTTCGAGAGCACTCTACATGAATACCTTTCGCTTTGTAGTTTCGCCCTTTCCATCGGACTTTGGACACGTCTCCCACTCGCGATCCACTGTCACCGAAGAAACGGGAACGACAGCAGTGGTTCGCGTTTGCATGAAGAAGACGAGGCAGAAAGACATTTCTGAACATCACTCTTTCAATCGGAACGCCCTAGCTATTCAGACAAGCACAAAGCCGCCTAAACCTACACACCGAAAATAGCAAACATGTTTCCTCTCAATCAAATAGGTCTAAGAAGCTCACCTTCAAAGCATAGAAGATTTGCTACCATGGAATCCTACGATGGAAAAATCTCGATAATGTTCCATTGTACGATTCAATGTTTGCCTCTCAGTAACCGTCACCAAATCAAAAGAATAATTTGCCGATCCGCGGAAACGTCGCCTGCTATTCATTCAGGGTTTAGAAATAGGCGGCGATAATATGCTTACTTCGCGTACCCGACAGGTGGAAGGTATATAAGGTTCGGTTCAACGTCAGTGGTCACAGCAGTCTCAGGCCTGAAAACGAAGAAGTGAGCCGAAAAGTCATCCGCGGACGAATCTGATTAACATGTTGACGACAAAGATTGAGCATCTGTATAATGGAAAATAGATACTTTCTAATGACTACCGAAGTTAGTACCTATTGAAATGAGCTATGAAACGTAGCTTTGTCCTGGAATGATCTTATGTGGCGCGGAGTTTTTTCTTCACAGTTTCATACTTTCAACGATAATTGATTCGTTTCGAAATTTGCATGCTCCTGTGTAAGAGAAAATACTTCTGAATGTTGAATGTGGTGAAGAATGGTTTAAGTGTGTGAATGGTTTAAGTTAACAAAAGATGCGAAACTCAAAAAAAAACACGTCGGAAGTACGTGCCATTCCAAAATGAAAAACGGCACTATTCAACTATTACAACCCCGAGAACTCAAAATTTCATTTTTCGTCGAAACTTCGCCGTATAGGGGTAATTC